TAGGCCTCGGGAAAGATCTTCCACACCAAAATCTAAACGGATCTCTTTTTGGAATAAATATGTGCATATCAACACAAGCCTTGGGATTTGGTTAGAAAGCGGCTCTGGAGAAAAAGAGGAAGAAGAAATATCAAAAGAAACATGTTTGTCTACTTTAGGATTTTTTATATTTATATTTATATTTTTACCAGAATCAAGCACCCTAGTGTTTGTCTTGCCAGGGCCACATTCCAAGGGAGATGCTGGTGCAGCGGTAGTATCATAAATATTAAGGTTACTTTGCACACAGGTACATACTTCTGATAACAAATTGAGAAATTCATTTACAAATTGGGGAGCCACCCCCTGTTCTTTATTGCTCGTGCAACACCATGGAGCAGGGGCCACCTTGTTGTGGTTTACTTTATTGTTAATAGGAGTGAAGGTACCCAAGTAACCTAAGCCCCAAATCCTTTTCCCCAGGCCTTCATTTCAGCAACCTACTGATCATAGAAGAAGGCCCAAATTTTGTTGTACAAATGACCAGCCAATGAATTAAGCCTATTATCCGGCTTCTCTGTTTATAATTGGCGTGCCTGGCGCCTTTGGTTATTTTTTTGTTGGGCAGCCTGCACCCCATTTTTACAGTCTTGGGATATGTGTCCCTCCTGGCCACGGTTGTAACAGTTGCCCTTGAATCTGCACATCTGTCTGCCTTAGACTGTGCCAATATCCATAGGAGCACCCTGTCCTGGCTGCAGCCCAAACAGCTTGAACCCATGAGAGTGATAATTATTTTGGTTTGATAACCCAGGACAACTCTGGAAATAGTTAACTGTTTTTGGTGGTGGACCTGCCACCAAATTGTATTGTGTAGAGCTCAATGGCCCTACCTACTTTGCAAACCTCTTCTGCTGCTTACAAGAGGTTCTTGTTTCTCATATCCTGCAGATAAAGCTGTTCTGTAATGTGGGGTTCCATATTGCATTCTAGCAGCTTCACTGTGTGTTCATTATCTAGACCCCCTTGGATGGAGAGGGCCAGAAACCGTGTTACAAAATCATCTGTCCTCATGTTTCCTTGTTTGAAGGATCAGATTTGCTGATGTGCCCAGTCACACTCAGCTTGGGGTTTGAAATATTTTTTGATCTCTTCTTTGAGATTGTCCCAGGTAGGCCAGTAATTGGCAGTGTAACACTCTGGGAGTCTACCTTGGGTGTATCAACCCACCACAGGTCCTTTGAGTCTTGACAGTACTGCTGTCACTATTTGAAAATTATTGGCAAACACTGTAGAGTTATTATTGTGGCTGGGTCCGCATTACCATCACTTTTTTACTCCCAATACCATTCCTATCCGGCCCCCTCCTTCATCATATGTCATTCAGCCCACACATTCTATGCTCAATTTATTGTACAGCCTGCTTCACCCACACTGCCAATGGATAGAGTCCGCACAAGCTGCATTTTGGACCCCATTTGGTTTGCATCAAGCACGGCAAACAATCTTACACAAGGACAATGCACATAGACAGTAGTTTGAACCCGTTAATCCGCACTTTCACACAGTCTGCACCCGTGGGAAATCTAATCCGCAAGTCGGGCTCCCTCAATCCGCACTTTTTAGTCTAATTATTCCCTAGTTGCCTTGGCGCCACAGCGCTTCCATCTACTTCCATCTGCACTTTGATCAGCACTTTCATACAGTCCACAGAGTTCATGTTTGTGGACACCTAGAGCCCGCGTTTATGGGTACATAGAGTCCACATTTGCGGATGCATAAGGTCCGCACTTTTTGGACTTTGGACTCATCAGATGAGAAGCTAACTCAGCACTCCACGCACATGCAAGACTCCAGAGCATTACAATTGTTCACAGATCAACTACCCCTTTCCTTCTATCGATTATAGGAGTTGTCCCTCATGGTATGGAACTGGTCTGGACATCGGACTAGCAGGATATGACTTGCTTTTTCTTATATTTTCATATGGACACTTTCTGTTTCTCCCATTGGTTTTCATATCTTTTACACTATTTGTGCAATTTTCTTTTTGGTACTGGTATAAAACTGTACTTCCAAAAGGAAGGAATACCATCTTTTGATCCCCCATATACTCAGAATTCATCTGAATAAGTCACCATAGTCGCTTCAGAATCGTTGTAGATATCCCACAGCTATATAAACAAATTTCCAACAAAGTACCGAGCTTATTGTGACATTTTGCTTGTATAGACCCAAAATGCGGACTCTCAGGAGTCATTCCAGTGCCGTATTCTCCACTATATTCATCCTCAACTCATATTATCACTCCCACACTTGTATTATTGCCTTTCCAGCAAGACCACAACTTGCTGTGACATATTTGCTTCATTGAGACTCAAAAGTGCGGACTCTGCAGATTCATTTGCAGACCTGCATACTCATCTGCAGACTCACTCTGTTGTAGTCTTCAGCACTTTTTTCTGAATCCCTTGGTTGATTGGTTGATCCCTGTGGGTTCAACAAAGCATAGGTGTTTGGACATCAGGTCTAGACTCAACCCTTCTCCAACTGGTGGAGGCAAGTGCCCGGCCTGGTCAAAGGAACGTGAAGAAAAAGTTTTGTATGTAGATCTAATCAACAATAGTTCTGCACTACTGCTGAGCTATAGTACTCCCCTTACCACTGGGGGCCGTGTAATGTTTGATTCAATCTTTCTAGTACCTTGTGTTGAGGAGCTCACCTGCAGGATTTGGGCACACACTTTGTTTCTGTGGCTAGCAAAAGCTCAACACCATCTGAAACCAAAGTATTACTGCTCAAAAGGTTCCACTCAACCCTGTGGTCCAGGTTTGCACGAAGTGCAAGAGAGTAAAAGAGCGAGTCCTAATGTAACAACCAAAGTTTGCATACTCTGGCACACAATGAAGACAGGCAGAGAGGGGTGAGTGAAGGACTATACAGTTGATGAAGGTAGTGGCTGATGATGTCATAGGGCACAGCCCATGTGACCAGCTCCACTGCATGAGAGACTTGTAGCTAAGAATAAAGAAAAGCAGTGCAGTGCAAGAAAGTGGAGTTTGAACATAATGGAAAGTGCCGCATGGCACAGTGTGTGAAAACTACGAAAGAAAGTTAGAGTGGAGAATGAAAATCAAAGGTCCAAAAATTGTGTATTGTAACACACATCCACATAAAATAAGCTGGTCGCCATCTCTGTCAATGCACATTAAGCCCAGCAGATATTGACAATAATTCCTTCAAATTTGAATTTGCAGAGATCATCTCATTCAAAACAGTGTTTGAGATGTGCTACATATGAGCATCTGAAATCTCCCCTGTAGCTTCAACACAAACCATATGATTTTTGGGACATTCCTTATAATGTGCCCTTTACAATATGCTGGGTTTGTCCCTTGTACTTCTCAGAATGTCCCACATAATAAAGGGGACATCCTATATCACAGGTGGTGGGATATCCCATATAGTCATGGGGAAATCCCACATCACAGTTGGGATGTCCCACACAATAAATGGGATATCACACAGAATCTCTTGGGTTGGGGTATCCCAGTGGATTTTGAAAATTTGAAAAACACAACTGCATCTTGTGAAAATCAAAATAAAGTAAAATCCAGGTATTTACAGGGGTTGAAGATTGTACATGGTAGTTTTTGAGGGGTAAATGTGTGATTGAATTTTTTAATAAATTAATTTGTATGTAGGTGATGTGGTAGATGCTACAATTATAAGAGCATAATTGCAGCACCTTAGATTTAATCCTAAAATTAATACATAATATCTTACTAAAAATAGATAAATAAGGCTGATATGCCTACCCTAAACCCTCCTGGGCTCAGTGATGGAGTATTTTGGACCATGCACACAAGATTCTGTCCCTATTTGTATGGGCAGTTGAGAGTGGAGACAATCATATATCATATAATGTGACAAAGATAGTTGTTGAAATATTAAATTATTAACCCAGCTTTGTTAAAGTCTTAAGCAATTAAAATGTGACATGGACTATAGTACATTATATGTGGGTTTGACTTTCTTGATATTAAGATGGGACCACTATTAGATGATCACAGATGATGTCCCATACTTGGGGATATCCCACAGCAATGTCCCAAGGTAAACAAGGCTCTTAGTCACATAGCAGTTTCAAGCTAGGAGCCAGGCACCTGAGATTGACTGCAGTGAATGCCAAACTGACATCAACTCCAACATCTTGACAAATTATGACATTTGTTTATAGTATGAGAAAACATGTATTGGCCAGGGCTTGAACCTGGGACTCCAGCTTTCATGGTCTGGTGCTTTACCAATTAAGCTACCAAGGCATACTTGGAAAGCATACTGATTGGTTGCATGCCCAGAAGGTCCAGAATCACTGTACACGGGTGCGGATCCCATTGTGTTGTGATACATCTGACCCCACATCTCTGAATGTATCCATTGTAAACACAATCACCTTTCATCAGGCTTGTAAACTTGAAGGATAAACCCAGTTTACTATGCAATTATAATTATCCCAACTCCAGGCCTCCTCTCTTGCTCCAAAAGTCATGGATCTGTCCTCTGTCCCCTCCAAATACCACAATTATGGAAGCATTTTTAGCAAGGCCAAAGCAGACAAGCTTCATCAGGAAAAACCTAGTTTCCTTTTATAGCTATCATAGCTGTCATAGTGCTATATAGGGAAAATAGTAGCTATAGTATGCCTAGACAAGTCCCTATTATATAGCTCTATATAGCAGGGATATTTTGAGATGTTTGCTATACCAGCTATAGTATCACTTCTGTGATATATACAATCCATCTCTACTATGGTTGCTCTCATAGAATATAATAGATATAACAACCATCAATGGTTATTTCAGAATGGTCATATTATATATGTTCCACAAGCTTATCATAGTTTTCAAATTTTCTCAGTTTTGTTTACTATTATTATAGCATCCTGGCTGGAGATCATATGCGGGGAATCTATCAAAGTATATTCCTGATACCATACAATGACATGCATATATCAACAATTATAAGGATGCTGAATCTTCAAGCACTACAAAATCAACCTCATCCTCCCAGTTGTCCTCTTGTGCATTCAAGCACTGTAAATCACACTGTTGACTATGTGTAATGTAATGCTTATGAGTGTTGTTCTAAAATAATTTGGTAGGCTACTCACAGAATATTGTTGTAAGTGTTTTTACAAAACTGCAAAAACCACCTAGGAGTTTTCCTTTGTAGCTCTTCTAACCTGGACAGATAATATAAATATCTAATAAACACTTATGAATAAAGGTTGACGTAGAGTGGATATTGAATTTACCTGGGCCTGTAGACCTGTTCAGAGAAATTCAAGGTGGTGTGAACACCTTTTGCAAGTTCATGAAGACAGTTTTTGATCTGTGAAATATAGAGTGAGGAAAATTCATGTATATTACATTACAAACTCACAGCTGTAACAGTCAAGGCAATTAATGGTAAAGGTGAGTCTTTGAAGTCACTTGGATAGCGGACACCCTCCCCCTTTTTATGAAACCACTGAATCTGAAGTAGTAGCTTGATGATGTGATGTCCAAAAGGTTTTTGCTTATCATATGAATTAAGTCTGATATACATAGTCATAAAATGTTTAAGAAGAGTAGATATGAACACTTACAAAAACATCCAAACCACCAAATGTAAAGACACCTTTTCTACTACTCAACAACCACTCCCCTATAGTATGTACTTCCTCTGAGAGCTTGTTTTTGAGGGTGTATTCTGAGAGAATGAGTATCCTAGCCTTTTGTTTGACTTCACCTCTAAGCTGAGCTGCAGCCGCCCACACCTGTTTAAAATTTTAATATTAGTAATATTAAAAACATTGTTCTCACTCACATAATCGACAATTCTACCTTTTTTCTGCTTGTTCCTTGCATTCTCCAAATCTACTATGGTAGTCTTGAATAGTGAAGAAGAACTGGCAACTTTGATGATTGCATTCCAAACAAGTTCATCTTGTTCATCAGTACCTGGGAAGCCTTTCACAGTAGAAAGAATGACACACATTTGAGAATGTCCTGCTTTAGCCAGCCTGGAGCTGGTAGGACTAAAGCTAGTGATGATGGCCTGTGTAGAATATAAGCCTCATAATCTTTAAACTTATTGCACACTTACCTTGGAATCTCTGGAAGGTGTTAATGAAGGAGAACTATTGCTATTCATTTTACGGTTAACGTTGATCAACCAGACACTTTCAGCTGGTGATGCAGTAATCTGTATCTGTATATGTGGATCAGTGAACTAGAAAAAAAAGGTAAAACTCACATTGGTATGCAATGATGAGACCATTTGTTCGTAGCAAGGATTGTCCAACTCCTGGGTCAATAAAGGTGAGGGAGTAACTTGCTGTGAGCTTTCTTCTTCTGATGATGCATTAGTAAAGCTTATAGCTAAGATTGAGTTACTTGCCTGTCAAGCATCTAAAGGTCTGCATTAGAGCATCTTCATCTTCATCTTCTAGTTCCTCTTCCATGCTATTTCTGGCCCTCTTATGAAGAGGTTCATCTTCACTATCAATGTCAGGCCTATCTAAGTCTCCTTCTTCCTCATCATCCTCAGCATCCACCATGTGAGCTGCTTTCTGACGAATATCTGGGAAGTGTACTATGTAATGGACATGATACATAATACATATTAAATGACTCACCTACTAGCCTGTCAGCATTTGCATCCTTTCAAGATGCTTGCAACTTCTTCATCAGTTGGCTGTATAAGATTTCTTCATCTTGTGTAAGCCCATTGGAAGAGTTTGATGTCCTTTGAGCCCTGGAATATTTAGTTAAAGGCTTCTTTGACTTACTCCCCTGAGTTTTGTTCTGTCCAGATCTTGTGCTAGCAGCCATCACCAAAATAGTAGACAGAGACAGAGGTAAAAGATATAGAAAATGAGGAATTAGCAAACAGTGGAACATTTCATCCCTCATACCTTTCAACTTTCTTCTCAAAGGTGATACAACAAACAAATATACACTAGTATTATTAGTGACAAACTCTGGATCAAACAATTGGTAAACGTCTAAGAGTATCAAGGTCAAAAAGACAAAATGCAGTACAAAGTATATGGTTGTCAATGTAAAGAAGAATGACCAGCCCATCCATTTTGCCTATTCCTCCAATCATACATCTCCTTGTCAGTTTGCAAGACAATTGAGCCCCTCTGCCCTCTAAAGTGCAAGTTAAAATGAGTTATATCACATGAGCAAAAGAGTACAATATCCCCCTCTCTCATCTGCAACACCAGGCCAGGCTCAACAAGACAAAGCTCTCCCCCTTCATGCTTACCCAGTGGTATGACTAGACAAAAGAGTTTGTCCTTGGCATCCCTGTGAGCCTTGGTTGAAACATTGATATTGACCACAAGACCTAAGAATGGGCAAACAGCAGAGGCATTGTTACCAGGGAGTGACTCAGCATGTTGTCTGAGTACCAAATATTTGGCAGGTAGATAAGTAGCAAGCTACATCAATGGTATCAGCAGATTATCCTGCAAATCAATCAGAAACAATGTCACTCACCATTTCATTTATCCATTCAAAGAGATCAGCAAATACAGTTTTAAGTTTCTGGTAAATGTTAGCATGATCTTGAATCTCCTTGGATGTATAGGGGACAAGCTGCAAAGAATTTGTCCTCTAGGCATACTTTCTCCTCATCATCCAAGGGGGAATATTCTTCGGTGCGTCATTTCCCTTTATTGATTCAGTATAGTTTGTAAATGGAAAAAAAAAAGAACTCACTTTTGTACAATGGCGGTTGTACCAAGAAAAATGTAGAGCTTGAAACGTGAAGCCTTCACCTTTAACAGCCGAGTCTACATGATGTAGAGATGTGGTGGAGCCTAGGCAGGACTGGAAGTAAGGCAGGAGAGTGGTGCGGATTGATTCTGGCATAGAGCTGTATAAAAATAAAATGAGTGAATCATCGCTGTTTTTCAAGAGAAGAGGGATAGAGGGAACTATTGAGCATGGTATATACAAGTATGCTGAGGGGTTTGTACGAACACCCCCATCATAATGTTTCTGTATCTAAGAACAAATATTTAGCATTGAGATTGTGTATACTACATACATGATAATAACATACCTTGGCCGTCAGGTCCTCCACATTTGTGACCTTGATGGCTCGACTAGCCTTTTCTCTTTCTGATTCGGTCCACTCGTAGTTAGCGCCAGGATCCCGTGGTGCAGAGTATTGGCGATTGCCTTCAGCCATATTCTGGAATGTTGTGCTAACCACATACATTTCAGGGAGGACAACTGGTGGTAATGATGGTGATGGTGGTTGAGAATGAGGCAGGATGTTGTCAAGATCGGATAAGGGAGTCAGGAAGTGTACTAAAGATGTTGTACCTACACCTAAGATAACCTGACCATGATTATGTATGGGTACATGAGCTATGTCTATAGTATGCATACAGACTCCCCAACAATCTAGACAATGATCCAAGAGTTGGAAAGTACTACAAAAAAACCAAAAAAAAATCAGAAGCTGTTAGAATCAAATAATTGTAATGTACTTGAACCAGATAGCCTTAAAAATTTGATCAGAAGCCTCAAAATGTTTGCAATCAATATTAGCAGGAAGGCCATAATAACTGAGCACGCCAGGTGCGAACATGCAGTTCATGTTCAGTGGCAGGTTTTGGCATAAGCTAGAAATAGTTGGGATGATTCTACTAATCACCAGCTGTCCACTAACAGTAGCTGCATGACATTGTTTAGTTAGGATACATGCAGTAAAAAGTAGTACACTTACATTCAACTGGCCACCTAAAAACATTGACTATCTCTCATGGCATTGTTCCATCCATTTCACCAAGTTGAACCCATAAGTTCAAGCCTGCAACCAAAACAAGGGCATAGATAGATCCTACATAGATCTGTAAGTATGGCTTAATACGGACAAAGGTGATCTTACCACCGGCTAATATGGCTGCAAACTTGCAGCCCATAGCATGCCATTGCTCAAACTGTTTCTTAGACGGCTTGGGCTGAGGGAGATCTTGGCAACGAGCTGGATGTAGCTGATCATCAGCAAAAAGTTGACACCTATGTCTTTACTGGTCATGCGCCAACAGCGCGCCACAACAGAAGCCAAAGACTTGTCCAGGTAGTCATTGGTGGACGTAACAGAGGTTAACAGGGAGTTGACAGAGTGCGCCCACTCTCCTGAGTTGAACATTGATGAGTCTTCATGTGCAGCCGCAAGTTGTGCTATTAAAGTGTCAACGGCCGAGTTGATCCTAATAGCAGGGTTGTTGACTGCTTGCCACAGAGATTGCTGGACAGCAACTCCACCCCTTGGACAAGGCCGTCAACATGCAGGAGCTGGAGCAGGGGCAGGAGCAGGTTGTCAACATGTAGGAGATGGAGATCAACAAGATTGACGTGCAAGAGTAGGAGTAGGAGCTGCAGCAGCATATGGGTGTTGACGTAGTTGGCGTCTTTATGAGCGTATCACTGTCAGAGATTGTTGCAGAGATTGATTGGTCTGCAATTTGGACTCGTCAGCTTGAGTTTGCTGTGGAGAAACAATAGTCAGTAACATCGGCATTAGGAGGGGAGAGCCAACATACCTCTTCACCAGAGTGGGCTGGGGATGATGTTGTTAGGTCTTGATGCATGGTGACAGAAGGCAGGCTGTCAGAGAGGGACAATGGAACCATTGAGGATAGAGCCACTTTGTCTAGCAGTGCAGAGAGGTCAGCAGGAGTGAGTGTGCTTGGGATACCCACCAGTTGGGCATGAAAATCCATCAGCTCTGTTGGCAGTGGTTGCTGACCCAGTATCCGAGCGAGGATCTTGACCTGTAGTGCCAAAATAGTAAATCTGTACATCTTCAGTATACTACAAATACTGTGGGAAAATGTATGTCAGCCTGACCTCAGGTCAGGCTTGGTTACACAACAATATCATAAGGTGTTGCAATGCTGATAATGTCAAATCAGCAATCTGCTGGACCATGCGAGAATGGACGGTCAGACTGTCCATTCTCACACGGTCCAGTATTGTTGTTCCAGCGTAGATAAGATTAGATCACCCAATGAGCCATGAAAGAATGGACGGTCAGACTGTCCATTCTCTCACAGCTCATTGGGTATTCACTATTGCAATCATATGAGGTGAGTGCTGATACTGAGGTGGAATGAACAGAGACTTACTATTTTTCTCATAGTGATTATTGGCTTTTCACAATAGCAACCTGTTGATTCCATGCAGTGCGAGAAAAGAGATCAGCTGTTGTCCCCTTTCTCACACTGCATGGAACAATGCGACTGCACACGTCCAACTGTGGATGTGGGTGGCTCTCCGCTTATTATCTTTTGAATCATTATCAACATCCACTCTTTCAATGTCCATCCATACTGCACCAATCACTATATCTGAGGATCAAGTCCAGCCCATCATTGAGCAAATTGTTAGGAAGTATAATTCTCCGGACGTATATGTCCAGGTGAGAAATCATTGTCTGGCTACATTCCTGATCTGATTTTTCCCCCTAGCAATTCTATATTGAACCATCAAGTTTCCCTAAGTTTGTGGACAAGCTCAGAGAAAGTGAATACAGCACTCTAAGGTATGCTTTTTTGTGAGTGAATATACTGTACTTATGTCCTTACTTCCAGATATAGGTATGACCATGTGAAAGGCATCTTGCAACTGAGCATGCCTACTCCTGTACATGAAGTTTTCATTGAGTGCCTCAGTGAACTTTTACAGGGGGAACTGTCAGGCTTTATCAGACGGTCAGATTGGAAGTTCAAGTTGAGTTCTAATACATCCAAGTTCCTCCGGCGAGGTCAAATCACCACTGTACCCAACTTAGCCATCAAGTTCCAAAGCCTCAATCCTAGCACTGAGTGGCAGGACTTGTTCATTGTCGAGGTCTCCCATTCCCAGTCACTTGGGGACGTCACCCAGAAGGTGAAAAAGTACTGGGAGGAGCTCCCCCACCTTGTTGGCACTCTAGTGGTCAAATTCTACAAGTCCCACAAATATGCAAAGCCCCAATATGGGTACGCTGAACGCGTCAACATGCAGTATTGGTACAACTTATAAAAGGATGACAATATCAAATATGGCCCTCTGAGGACAGCTGACGGTGTAACATGGGCGGGTAGATTTGTGGTGGATATGTACCTGTATGAAAAGGACCCAAAGGTTGTAGAGAAGGAGGGCTATGCACGGGATCTTCCTACGCCCATAGTACTGGTGGGTCCCCTCTTGATCACTACCTTCTTTGACTAATATAACATACATACAGAGGGTGATACCTAATATAGATGTGGGCTAACTCTATCCCACTCAAGCCCAGAAATACAAACTCAATGAAGTTTTCAATTGTGTTATTACCAGGTCAATTTTGGAGATGGAGAAGATTATGAGAAGTGCGCTTCAGACTGTTGCTAACCTAGAAGCTGAAAGTGCAGCTGCTCAGATGGCAGCGCTAGAGGTTGCTACCCAGGATTTGATAGCAAACTGCACTGGTCGTCCTCTTCAGAGTGGTACCCATTCACGCACACCCACCACTACTCTACCTACTCCCCATTTGCACCCCCAAGTATTGCCTAAAGAGATATCTTCTATCAATCTCTCAGTCTTTGATATCCAGCTGGATTTTGACGATTTTCTTCAGGCTTTTCATGAATCTGTAGCTGATCTGGCACATAGACATTTTCAGGATCATTGTAATGCCCCCCGAAGTCGTGCTAAGGCAGCTAGGAGAAGGAGTCCTTTTCACTCTGAAGAAGAAGTGGGTCGGCTTGTTCGACAGAAATTGGGTGTAGGTAGCTTCAGCAACAATGTCACAAGGAGGAAGTGAAAAACGGACATGGACAACATTATATGTATTACTTTTCTTGTTCTTGTACTCTGCGCTTGTAAACGATATTGTACTTAAGCATGTATATGCATGTATAACTTCTCTTTGTATTAGAACAAGCAAATTCTATGTTTTACCACTACATATTTCCAATTTGGGATATTCCTGGTGTAGATTGAGGTGTTGCGTCTTCACAGCATATTTACAAACAGGTCCTAGATAGTCAAAGGTATCAATTTCATATTAACTGGTGTTATTATTTCATAAACTGACTGGATGTGTATGGTGTAGTTTAGGTTCAAGGAGAAAACGGCACATGTACCCAGTATGGTTGATTGCACATGTCCTGCATGTGGAAAACTTTTGAAAACACCACAAGGTGTCATGGCTTACCTATCAATGTCAGTGATGCGTGCTTGGTATAGGAAAGTAAAGAGAAGAGAACTTGAGGCAGACAATCTAGGCCCTGAACAAGTAGTGTTTGATGAAGTCAACTTGGATGAAAATGTTTACAACCAAGAAGACTATGACTCAGATGGGTCAGAAGATATATTCCTCAACAGCTTACAAGAACCATTTAACAATTTCCTAAATGATCCTGCAATGCAAGGCAACACCCAGTATAACTTGAACCCTGACCCAGAGATGCAGGCTGGCAGTTCACGTCACCCCCACTCCCTGCACTTTAATCTGGATGACAATGATGATGATGATGAAAGAGTAGTGGAACAAAATGAGAATGCTGGCAAGGTTATAAGGGTGGATCTGGATGCTCATAATAAATGGAGGGAGAGTTTTCACCAGTTCCATCAAGATGACGATGAGATGGACATTGATCTTCCTGATAATAGATGGGCTCCATTTTCCACAGAATTAGACTGGAAATTTGCACATTGGGCATTGCAGGAGGGGGTTGGCCAGAAATCTCTTGACAGATAACTGGCAATTCTTGAAGTGAGTGACACTTCCACACTTTAATTCATGTTTTATGTCAACTGACCTCCAACCTTTGCACCAGCTTTCCCAGAGACTGGGCCTTTCTTATCAAAATAGCAGAAGCCTTCTAAAAATTATCAACTCCAAAATTCCTGAAAGGGCCAAATGGCACTCAAAATATCTACACTTTGATGATCCTCCAGAAGAAATACACCTTATACAATATAGAGACCCCTTACAAGCCATTGCGTCTTTGTTGGGCAATTCAGCACATGCAACAGACATAGTCTATAAACCCTCAAGAATATTCACAAACAGCAACAGGGATGATCGTATCTCCTGTTATAATAGCGACAGACAAAACTCAGTTGACTCAGTTCTCAGGCAACAAGTCTGCATATCCAGTGTATCTTACACTAGGCAATATACCCAGCTCTATTAGACGCAAACCCTCTCAGCACACTTGTGTACTTATTGGATATCTGTCTGTCAATAAATTGGTGAAAAAAGGCTTGACGACAAAGGAAAAGACAGCACGTGTTCAAAGACTTTTCCATGCCTCAGTACGGATGATTTTGGAGCCACTTATTGAGGCTGGACGTAAAGGAATGGAGGTTACAGGTGGAGATGGTGCAGTGAGAAAAATTCACGCTATTCTTGCTTGCTATGTCGCCAACTATCCAGAGCAATGTCTGGTGACTTGCTCAAAGTATGGAACATGTCCCAAGTGCAGGCGTCCAGCAACAGACCTTGAAAATAAAGCAGCTGGGGAACCTATGACGTCTGACTGGACTCTCTCTGTCATTAATCAAGCCTCATCTTCGAACTCAAGGAGAGAATTTTTTGATCAATGTATGGATAAACATATATCTGGAGGTGTTTACAGGCCATTTTGGGAAAGATTTCCCTACTGTGATATTCATCTTTGCATTACCCCCAATGTCTTGCATCAGTTATATCAAGGTGTCATCAAACATATTGTCTCATGGTACCAAGATCTTATGGGTACAGAGGAACTGGATGCAAGAATACGCACTTTACCTCCTGCATATGGATCAAAGCATTTCAAAAATGGCTTATTGGCTCTTTCTCAGATATCTGGAGGCAAAAGAAAAGATATGGCCAAGGTACTTTTAGGATGCCTTGTAGAAAAACTACCCAAGCAGGCAATTATTACAATTAGATCAATCTTGGACTTCATATACATTGCTCAGTACCCCACACACAGTGATACAACCCTTGGATATCTATCAGATGCTCTCAAAACATTTCATCAAAACAAAGCAATTTTTGTCACTCTGGGTGTTAGAGAAAATTTGAATATTCCTAAATTCCACTCTCTATGTTGACTCTATTTGCTGGTTTGGGGCTACAAATAACTACAACACAGAAATGTTTGAATGTTTCCACATAGACATGGCCAAGAATGCATGGAGAGCATCAAATTATAGGAATGAGCATCCACAAATAACCACCTGGCTAACAAGACAAGAAAGAGCTGCATGGCTTAAATGCTATCAATTGTCTTTACAAAATAGACCAGTTTTATGTCAGCAAGATATTCTCCAGAATCTATCTGGCTTAGGTATTAAAATAGCCAAAATACCTCCTCTTCCACAACAACCCCTTCAATTAATTCAACAAAACCACCAATGTCATGGCTTCATACGTGATATCAAGGAGTTTCTGAATCGCCTAATGCATGGTTAGCCAGGTTATATGTCCAGGAATCAAGTCAATATTGCAAATCTCCCATTTGATTGACTTGATGTATTCACTAGTTTCAAACTCACTCCAATTCACCTTGGAGATGATGCTAGTGCAAGTGCAAGTGTAAAGTATGAAGTCATCAAAGCAAGACCTAGGTCCAAAGGAATTGCTCCACAGTTTGATAATGTTGTCGTATTAGACTCATTAGAAGCAGAGTCAACAGGTGTTGCTGGTAATATTTTCCTCTAATTTCATAATCAGTTTCAAGTTGTGAATTAATGTTTCATGACATAGGTACATGTGTTGGAAGAGTTAAAGTAATATTCAAGCTCCCTGCAATTTTTCATGGTGGTTCTGTTGATATACCAAAACATTGGCCCAAAATTCTATTAGCGTACATTGAATGGTACACCAAGTTGAAAGGTAGTGCAGATCCAGCACATATGATGTATGTGGTTACAAAACCTGCACTTAGAGCTGATGGTACTCCACCAGCTTCTATAGTACCATTGAGCAGTATACAACAAGGCTGCCACTTGTTGCCTTTGTTTGGAAAAGATCAAGTGCCTGCTCACTGGGGTACAGAAAATGCTTTGGACGTTTGTGATAGATTTCTATTAAATAATTGGGCTAGTTTGTATGCATACCAAACTATTTGGTGAATATTAATTCTATCATTATTAGTATCAGAAAAAGGTTCTCATAGACATAAATGAGCTGGTATAGCTAGTATAGCTGACATAGTAACTATAAGGTTTCACATAAACATCAGGAAAAACCCTTTTGCTATATAGTGCTATATAGCTACCACCTATATATATAAACACATTCATAGAAACTATAGTACTATCAGTGCAATCATAGCTCTTATAGCTCTTATAGCACAGTAGTAGGCAAAATTTTAACCAAGGGGAGAAATGTTTAAATCCCTCAAACTCTGGAATAATCTAATAAACTTGTTCAATAATAGAAAGAGGCCAGAAGTGTTTGGAGTCAAGTATATTATTATAGGCAAGGTACTATAAGGGCTCTTATAGCCTATAGCAGCCTACATAGCTCCTATAGCTGTAAAGGTCATAGTTATAATATAGTAAAAAAATAATCTAAGTCCATAAAAGGTCAATATATAACACCTGTATAATATATTTTATAAGCCTTTATGGTGTAGTGGATAAATGTGATGTGTGGCTATAGGTTGCTTAGTCACCCAAGAGCTGACTAGCAGGTTGAGAGTTCAAGTCCTGTCTGTGTTGATTTTTTTTTATCAGCCACACAACAATTTCCAACATCTATAAGAGCATTTATAGAGCTATATGAGGCTCTATAGATGGCAGAGGTTCTATAACAGGTTCGACCACTATAACAGCTTTATGAGTACTTATAGTGCTATAGAGCTCTATATAGCTACCCCCATTTTTCCTGATGGTGATTTATTGGCTATAATAGGAATTTAATAGCTATCATAGCAGCTATAGGAACATACCCAGCTATATAGTGAAATGGTTTTTCCTGATGCTTCTGCTACATCATCTGTTTGATCTAAAGATCCACAGCTGATGATGTTATAGGGTGCAGCCCATGTGACCAGCTCCACTGCGTAAGAGACTTGTAGTTAAGAATAAAGAAAAGCAGTGCAGCGCGCAAAAGTGGAGTTTGAACAGAATGGAATGTGCTGCACAGCACAGTGTGTGAACACTACAAAAGAAAGTTAAAGTGGAGAATGAAATTTAAAGGTCCAAAAATTGTGTATTGTATCAGTCAGGCACTCAAATCTTCTTTACAAGGCTAGAAATGGTGCTGAGCTGCTCAGAAAACTTGTCAATGTTCTCAGAAACATTAGCCATGTACTGCTTTTTCTGTAGTATTATGGCAAACTGCAGCAGCTGTGTCAGTATATCACTATTAGAGCTATTAGAGAGGCCAACACTATACTGTAATTATATGTTAGTTAATGTGGTAGAGTAGGATTCCCATTTCAAAAAATTAAATATATCAATTCCCGTATATAATGTTGATGGCACTCTTAATGCTGGTGGATGCATTTGTTACAACCAAAAAAAATTTACTCTGGTGCACAGTGAGAATAAGCAAAAAGGGATGAGTGAGAGAGTGAATAATTTCCCTTAGGTTTAGGACCGAGTTAGTTGATGGTATTCAACAGAAGGACTCAATGAGGAGTCTTCTTAATTTATTTGGGTTTATATACATCTACAGACTATTTATACATGTGTACTGTACAGTTACTAAGGGTGGTGGCTGATCCATAACGAAGGGGACGGTGGTCCCAAAAGTTGCGTGCGGCACACGTGGGGTGGTCTGCTTGTTAAGCTGTCAACCCTTCTCCAGACTGGTGGAGGCAAGTGCCCAGCCTGGTCAGAGGTATTCAAAGAGGAAGTTTTGTATTCTAAAATCTAATCAACAGAGGTTCTACACCACTGCTGAGCTATAGTACTCCCCTTGACGCTGGGGGCCGCGTATTAAAGGTTTTGTTTCTTCTCCCAAAGCACTACAAGGCCGTCGCTAGGAGCGCACCTATTTGCAATGCGGGATATTCCCAAACAATAACCAAATCTCCTTCACCCTGGAGACCGGGTGCCCAGTGGGACTTTTTGCACAATGTGCGAGAGAGTAGAAAAGCGAGTCCTAATGTAACAACCAAGAGTTAGTTACTCTGGTGCACACAAGAACACATTATAAAGGTAGTGATGAGGGAGTGGTTATCCCTTAAGCTGCAGAGAGTTTGTTGGTTAACAACAGGAGGACTCACTGAGGAGTCTCCTGGATCTATTGGGGTATATATACTAATACAGAGTGTTTGTACTTATGTACTGTACAGTTGATAAAGTCAGTGGCTGATGATGTCATGGGGTCTAGCCCACATGACCAGCTCCACTGTGTGTGAGAGTTGTATCTAAAAATAAGAAGAAGGCAATGTGGCGCGAGAAAGAAGAGTTTGAACAAAAAGGGGAAGTGCCGCGTGGCACCATGTGTGAAAGCTAAAGTATACAAGGTTAAAGCGGAGAATGAAAATGAAGGAAAGATCCGAAAATTGTGTTATCGTAACACTTACTACCAAAATACATTTGCTAAATGTTGGTGACCCTATCCATTCAGTGTGTTATATTTGTCTTATATGCTTTGTACTTATAGCTATATAAGTGTAGCTCCTACTTTTATCTCAACATCACTGTAGCAATATTTTCAAAGAAAATTTTCCACTGACAACCCAGGAATATCCTTACAAAACCTAGTCAAACTTATCTAACTGCCACTTCTAAAATTCATCTATCTATTACATTTGGGACTATAGTGTAATCTGGGAATGTATTTATATATATATAATCATCTGAGAAAGGCAATATCTTCAAATAACTAATAGAATAGCTATTCCTTTGAATTCTAGAGGACCTGAAACCTCATTTGATAAACAATTTAGAGGACCACTCAACAATATATCTGCAGCTAAGCCAATAACTCCTTAAAATGCTAGGCCTGCCCAAACCTGACAACATCAATATTTATTTTTCAATATTGTTGACAATAAGCTAGATAAAGATCAGAGTGCAACTACACTAGCTACAATAAAATTAAATGCAAATGCACCCAGTCCAAGAAAGAAATGACAAAAGACTAAATGATAGCCTAACTAGAAAAGACCTATATGCTACTAAAACCAGCACCCTTGATTTCATCTCCACAGATATTCTCAGTCACAATAAACTCACACTGATGTTTATATATGAATTCAAGGTAGTGAGGCCAGATGTATAAAAAACATGTTTAAAAGAAATTACTGAACACAGTGGTCTATAGTGTCACCATTGTGTATTAGCTTCAACTATTGTTGAACAAGTTTATTAGATTAATTTAGAGTTTGAGGGAAGTATAGATACTTTTCCCCTTGGTTAAAATTTTGCCTACTACTGTGCTATAAGAGCTATAAGGTCTATACTTGCACTGATGGTATTATAGTTTCTATGAATGCATTTATATATATAGGTAGTGGCTATATAGCGCTATATTGCAAAAGGGTTTTTCCTGATGTAAAAGCTAACATAAATTAGAAACATGGACTCCATATTAATCACTGCCTTCTATCATAAATATCTTGTATGAGCACCTTCAAACTGGCATTGGGTTTAACAATGTCATCTCTGCAGAATTATTTAGCATGGGCCACAGCTCCTCCCAATGTTTAGCTCCAGTGTTACAAAAAGTACTAGTAGCTTGAAAGGAGTTCAAAAAAGCAGAGGTGTGCGGGCAAAATAAATAAGTGTGAAAAACCACATATCCTAATCAACTTTGTCAACACCCTGTCAAACTCCTCATACACATAATATGTTCCCCATCCAAGGCATTGACCATCTTGTCCTTGAGCCATTGGTTATACCTCCAAGGAAGGCAAGGCCATTGAGTAAGTATGTCTGTCATTATTTGTCTGACATTTGTTTAGTCACAACACAATTACATTAGACAATAGCTAGACCATCATTCAGAGTCTCTGCAAGTCCTCATGCAGGAAGAGGGGAGATTCCCAGGACAGACTTGCAGCCTTTGTTTAGTGAGAGAAGGAACTTGGTGGTGCACAGAATGTTTGGGGAAACCAGAGTATTGCATGTCATGCTGCAGGGATGCTCAACTCAAACCAGCACCTCCCAGGCTGACTCATAGAGCGCAGGGTAAGCTACACAAAAGATTGCACTCATGAGGGCCTTGTTCTCCACAAAGGATTGCAATCACAGTTCACCGGTGCCTGGGGGTGCAGATTTGCACAAGGACCAAAAAGCTTGTGGAGCCTCTCCAGTTTCTGTGGTGAAACTTTTATTATTTGTAATGTATAGATTATAACTCAATAACACAAACTTCATGAACTGAGTTGTAACCACGCTAGGAATAAGTCTATCAACTCGCAAGGGAATAGCTGAAAGTCCCTGGGATTCTTCTAATACAGTATTCTGAAGATTTATGCCAGCTCTTTGAGGGCTTCTTGGGGTGTTTGCTTTCTATCTTTCATTTGAGATGCTGTAGATCATCACACATGCTTTGCTAAATATATTTTTGCCTGTTTCTCCTCAGTGAGGATGCCCGGGAGATACCATAGAACTATTCTTCTGTGAATGTCCATTATGATAGAAGGGATTGTGATAATGCCAATATCTTTTGCAGGTCAATAGTCCTCAGGTATACTCTGTTTGGGCTTGTTGTTCTGGCCGTTATTACAAGGGCCCACCCGCTCTACACACAACGTTGCATCCCATTAAATATTTACTACCTGAGCATTCATCAGTAATGCCTTTAGTGAATACAAATGGCTTACTCCTTGTAAGGTATGCAACTGCTAACACCCCAGCTGCTCTCTTAAATTTGCTAACAAATGTTCCTGGGAGTTTTGCATTCTAATCCCACTGGGATCCTGGCTCTAGCTGGAGGAGATCTGGCCCCTCAGTGTGCATGTGAATCAATGCTTGCCAGAAGTGAAATAGCACACACTGTGCTGCAAGTTCTGTAAACAGAAATGTCCAGCTGGAAGGAATATCAGAGGGAATAGATGGCTTGGGGGTCTGAGGACTCATGAAGTTGCTGTAGACAACAAAAATATATGTGGGGTTGTCTAATAAATGATTACTGGTCAGTATATTATATGTATAATACAGCATTTCAGAAACATGTTGTTCAAGCATGTCCATAAATCTATAATGTAAGCGCTACAGTCTTAGAGAGCCTCTCGGCAATAAGACAACACCGTATTTGGAACTTATGAGATATTTGCGTATCTAACGTCACATAGAAACTAATGCCTAAAAAGGTGAGAGACAGGTCTTCAATAAGCAGACTCTGATCCAGCCAGGTCGTCTAAGGTGGGTGTCCTCTCACCTAACCAGATTGTCTTCAATGAGCAGACTCTCACACAGCCGGGTCATCAAGGATAGGCACAATATCATGTCTAACGTAGCCCGGCTGGTACACTCTGATAAAATTGGATATTGACCAGACTAGGGATTGAACCTGGAACCTTCTGGATACATGCCAGCTGCTCTACCAATTGAGCTATATGGCCAAGGTTATACAATACAGTATCTTAAACATAACATACAACCATGGATGTCTTACACAGTATAGCTGCTGCATACTGGGTTGGCTTACAAATCAGAGGTATTATCCTATGGAGTATTGGTATGTCAGAGTATATTCTAACACACTCTGCCGGACACTGCTAGCCCAGTCCAAGACAGGCCATTATAATTATATGGGCTGGTGTTGCCACAAAAACCAAACTAGCAAATCTAAGGAAAATAATCAACACAACGTGGCCCACACATGCTTTTGAGGATCACTGTCCCTTTTATTTTAGATTAGTCATTGCAAGGGAATTGGTGCCACTGGCGGACTGGAAAAGCTGCCAGGGCAATTCCTAGTGAATTGGCAATCAGTGATCCAGGAAAGTTGTTGACTTAGGCTGCATCTTTTGTGGAACCCTATTCTCAAGCTGGATGTTGAGTGCAAAACCTTTTATTGCAGCTGCTTCCTCATTGTTCATGAAGACATAGACATGTTTGAGTCAAAGTTGTAGTCATAAAATAAGACTATGGTATTGTTGGTAAAAGTTATGGAAAATATGAGAATAATAGCATACCTCAGTCTGATAGATAAAGACTGAGGCTTGAAAAGGGAACATGCCTTAGTTTTGGTAAAAGTGTGAGAAAAGGTATTATATAATGCTAAAAAGTCAGAATATGGTAGTAACTTTGGTAGATGAGGATCATAGAGAATAAAATGATAATTGGCATTTATAAATGCTATGTGATATATGTCAACATTGAGAACCTAATACTTAGATTGACCCTATTGCATCTTGTTGGCTGTAGCGGTTAGTAAGTAAAGACCAATATTTCCTATGGTAGTGTTTACTTCATAACCTTCAGGTTCTCATACTTACAGCTGGGGAAAATAAAATCATTTCTGAGCTAGTTACAAGGCCCCAACAATGCAATATGGATTTTTAATAGGTGTCTTGGTGGTTACAAGCTACTGATGGGGTACATTCTCCATTATCATTTTATATTGAAGTAAGCACACACATCTGAGCTTATTGCACAAGTCTTGTGTAGATGAACACCCTGTAACATCAGGAAAAACCCTTTTGCTATAGCGCTATATAGCCACCACCTATATATATACCCCATGGACTTTATTTCTTTTCTCAAGTAGCTATGCTCAGCTACCTACCAACACTTTCCCACATGCTATTGCCTGTTACGGTACCATCCATCATTGTTTGTTCAACACAAACAGCTACCCTAAAGTAGGCACAATATATATACACCTGTATTGTAGTTACTATCTCCAATACAATTGTATGCTTCAACAGTGTAACTTGGTATTCATCAGTCCAAAACCTCATCATCAGAATATGTCTCAAACTCATTCACAAAAGGGCTTATCAGAAACTGCTTACACATGCAGAACCTCTATGTTACCAGGCTTGCACATTCCAAGCGTAACAAAACAATCATATTTTATATCCATATCCCATGCTTTATAGCGAAGGGACAAAAAAGACGGCAATACATTGCAAGGAAGAAGACCCACCACCAGGGTAAAAACCAGAGCAGAACCAACACAGACAGCAACACCCCCAGTGTCATCTAGACAAGGAAGGACAGCAGCACCACCTCCCTTTCCCAACCCGACATCACTTGACTCCACACCGGAGAACAGGCAGACACATTCTACAAAGCCAGAACATGTTGGCTACAGTTTTATGCAGAGAGCCACCTACAGCTAATACCCAGAACCCAACATGATCCACCAGTAGTTGCAATAGACATCTACAACGAAAACAACGTTGAAGAATACACAGCAGAAGGTCAACCAATACCACCTCCCACACCACAGATACTTCCCACAGCACCCAATCTATCTCCAATTCCACCAACACGCACCATGTCTAGTGCTGCAGCATCCAAGCCCACCAAGTTTGGACAGATAGACAATTTTGATGGAATGCCCGACTGAGCCAATGGATGGATGTTATCAGCCAAAGCATATTTTGACATAAATGACACCATCTATGACTCAGACAAAAAGAAGGTTTTTGAAGCACTTTCACACATGAAAGAAGGAGCAACCCTAGCATGGAAAGAAACCAAATTAACGGAATACAAAGGATTGGCGAAATACCCAAAATGGGTGGACTTCAAATCCGACTTCGATGGGACATTTATTACTGCAGACGTAAAAGGAGCGGCTAGCGTGGCCCTCATGGCGATGAAAATGGAAACAGGAGAAATGGCAGTAAAGTTCAACTCCCGTTTCATGGTAGAAGCAGGGAAAAGCGGCTTAAATGATGAAGGACTGATCATGGTGTATAAAAGTTCCATAAACCCATATACACTTCCAGCCTATGATTTGATCCTACATACTAGTTTTAGATACATTTCTTTTAGTACAAGTTTCTCATTTCTAACTGTGAAAAACACCTTCCTTATTTAGACAATAATCTTCAGAACCTTCCTCTTCTACTTTTATGCTTGTTTATGGAAACTGACACCTCAGTCTTTTACTATCAGACTGAGGTGAGTACTTACAATAGGCACTTCATCATTCATCACTGACAAACTACCTAGTTATTTTCATAGGTACACAATTCAATCACAGTCTTTTACTATCAGACTGAGTTATTATTTTCATAGGAAAATATAGAGTTAATAGATGGAACCATTAGTAACTAACAGAGGGAAGATGACCCACTACACCTATCAACAAATAGAAGCAGGAGGAAGGAATGCCATGTGCAAATGCCTCATCACCAGATTAGGAGGAGAAGACATTCTCCTCGGATACCCGTGGCTCCACAAGGTTAACCCCACGATAGACTGGACGTTAAAAAGTGTAGACACCCAACATGCCATCCGCACGATCCAATCACACTCCAACCAATCCATGATTTGCACCATCACAATTGATCAACCAGAGCTATTGATCAACTATGTACACAGAATCCAGATCTTTGCAAAAACTAACATCACAATGGAACTAGCCATCCAGAACAATATCGGGAAAAAGATAATGGAACTACCTGAGACGTACAAACAGTTTTCACAGGTTTTTGACAAGAAAGCATCAGAAGGACTACCCAAAAGAAGGGTTTATGACCACACAATAAATCTTAAACCTGAATTCAAACCAAAGGACTGCAAGATCTATCCTCTATTGCCTAAAGAAAACACAGCCCTTGAAGAATTCCTACGCGACAACCTTAGAAAAGGGTACATCAGATCAAGCAAATCTCCAATGGAATCCCCCTTCTTCTACATAGACAAGGAGGATGGAGCATTAAGACCCTGCCAAGACTACCGTCAACTCAACAAATAAACAATCAGAGATCCCTACCCACTTCCCATAATCCCCAACCTCATAGACAAATTACGGGGAGCATCACATTTCACAAAACTGGACCTACGTTGGGGATACAACAATGTAAGGATAAAAGAAGGAGAAGAATGGAAGGCAGCTTTCAAGGCGCAAAAGGGACTCTTTCAACCAATGATCATGTTCTTCGGCATGTGCAACTCTCCAGCCACCTTCCAACACATGATGAACAACTTGTTCACAGATATGATAGGCGAAGGATAGCTCATCATATACATGGATGATATGCTCATATTCAGCAAAGCATCAGAAGAATATATAATGCGGACAAAACGGGTACTGCAACGCCTACTAAAAAACAACCTATATCTAAAACTGGAAAAATGCACCTTTGACACAGCCAGAATAGAATATCTTGGCATGATTGTCCATCAAAACCAAGTACAAATGGACCCAGTAAAATTGGCAGAAATCCAAAATTGGCCTACACTGACTAACATTCACGAGGTTCAAAAATTGCTTGGATTTGGCAACTTCCAACTTCTACCGCAAATTCATTAGTCACTACTCGGAACTCGCAAAACCACTCAACGCCCTACTAGAAAAAGGGAAAACTTGGAATTGGACAAAGGCCGAAGAAGACGCATTTGTGCTACTGAAACACTGTTTCAGCAAATTGCCGGTTACCCAGATACCAGATTCAAACAAACCATTGCAAATTGCGGCAGACACATCCAAACATACAACTGGAGTGGTGTTAAACCAACCCAATGACAATGGAGTATGGCATTCGTGTGCCTTCTTCTCCAAAATGCTATCCCCAGCCAAAAAAAACTACCAAATATACGACAAAGAACTGCTTGCCATCATCAGAGGACTAGAAGAATGTAAACATTACATCCTAGACAGTGCCCACACAGTAGAGATATTAACCAACCACAAGTATCTCACGTATTGGAAAGAAGCCAGAAAATTGACACCACAGCAAAGGCACTGGCAACTTCTACTCTCACAGTATAATTATACCCTGAAACACGTACCTGGAAAACAAATGACAATTCCGGACAATCTTTCCAGAAGACCAGATTTATATACAGAAAACGAAGAACAAGACACACCACTACTCCCAAAAACTGTTTTCGCCACAGTAGCAAACACTGACCCATTTTTCACACATATACAAACCAGTTTACGTGAAGGAATCAAATTACTGATGCACTCAGATCCCAAGGATTGGACCATCAAAAATGATGACGTGTTTTACAAAGGTTGCTGTTGCATTCCCACAGGAACCAAGAGAAAAACATGTATTCAACAACAACACAATTCGGTAACAGCCGGACACCCAGGACAGCTAAAAACAACCCAATTAGTAACAAGACATTACTATTGGTCAGGTATGACACAGATGATCAAAGATTATGTCACAGGATGTGCAATATGCCAACAAAGCAAGGTGATTACCAATCCGATCAAAATACCCATCCAACCAATTTTGGGTCTGAAAAGTACAGAACCATTTAAGAACCTTCCAGTTGACTTCATCACAGATCTACCAGAAAGCAATGGATACAACAGCCTTATGCCAGTGGTTGTGGTGGACCACAGCCTTACAAAGGGGATAATAATATCACCCTACAGGAAAACTATTGACGCACTGGGAACAGATGGGATACCACTCTAGGGATCTCCCCGCAACGCCAATAACAACCAACATACCGGCAGTGAGCAAAAGACTATCCAGCCTACTCAAAGCAAGGGTCATAGCTTTAGAAGCCCACAAGCTGGCAAGAACAAGCATGCAAAAATACTCACAACATCCTTTACCCATGTTTACATTTGGACAAAAGGTTTGGCTAGAAGCAACTAACCTAAAAAAGAAAGGAGCATGCTACCCAAAATTCAATTGGAAACGAGAAGGACCCTTTATCATCCTTGAAAAAGTATTGCCGGTTAACTACCGACTAAAACTCCCAGACATGTGGAAAATCCATCCTGTATTCCACGCTACCCTTCTAACTCTGTACAAACAAACCAAAGTCCACGGAGAAAACTACATAAGACCACTGGGTTTGTTGGTAGACAAACTTACACATAACTCCTGTACTCTGCTCCTGCAGTTTGAATATCAATAAGTTCCACACACCTTTTTACCCAAGTTCTTGTCTAAGTATTCTAGTCCTTCTCTGAAGGATCTTTACTCTACTCTACTTTCATCCTCCACTCTCTCCCTGCTCACTCCATTGAGTTAGGGACTGAGGTCCGTAGAAAGGCCTTGCACATGAGCTAAGCTGACTCCCAGCCTCATACTCTGTTCCCCATAGCGCACCTCTGTCCTCTGAACTCAGACAACTCTGAAGGTTACGGTTCTGTCAGTATATTCAAACTGACACTTCCCAGACCCTCTGTATCTCTCCCATGGTCAAACACATGCCCTCCATTTCCACGGCTCCCCAATGTCTGACCTCTCCTTAAACCCTAAGGGGTTCTCCGATCCTTCCCAATTACCCCAACCCCAGCCCCAGACTCTCTGATACTTGCTCCTGCTAAGCTACCTCGTGATGAGCCAGAGAATGAGGACATAGAAGACCTCACTCTGGCCCAGGCAATCACCTTGCTTGCCAAATTCTCTATATGCAACCCCAATGGTGGTTCCACATGCACTAAGATTAGAGAGCTTGACACCTTTGATGACTCTGATCCCAGGAAGCTTTGCTTCTTCATTGTGCAGTGTTAACTGAACTTTAACAACATGTGTTCCGCACCAACTGGGCAAAGGTTAATGACACTATTTCCTTCCTCAAAAGAATAGCATTGGATTGGTTTAAGCCGGAAATCCTGACCCCAGACAATTTCAATTTCACCACAGTCCCTGTTTGGACAATTACTCCGAGTTTCTCTCTGAACTCCATTCCAACTTTGGGCCTCATAACCCCACTGGAAACATGGAGTCCCAGATTGCACACCCCATGATGAGCAAGAACTGATGTTTGAACAAGTACATGGTTGAGTTCAATTTTCTCACCTCCCATATCCAAGGATGGGGCGGAGGCACACTTTATCACCAGTCTCACCAGGAACTTCCTTCAAGGACAAGGACAGAATTCCTACACTGGGATGCCAGACTTCCTTGAAAAGTTACAGAACCTTACCCAAACCATTGACTCATGCTTTTGGGAGCAATGCAGTGAAGTTAGTAGAAAAACTGGCACCCAGCCCAAATTTTTATCAAATACCAATATTATATCCTCATCATCCTCTGCAAAGCCTGCATCTTGTGGCAGCCCATTGTCCCATTCCAATTCTCACCATATGCACTCTTACTTGTCTGCTCTGAAAATTCCAGACTTGCCCAGCTTGCTGGGCAAAAATGGTAAACTCACTCCAGTAGAGGCCTATTGTAAGATAGGTTTAAAGGTAAGGTAAAAGTAGAGGTTCTCCCATCCGAGGTTCAAGTGGGTTTAAGCTAGTTAAGCTGAACACTGCTTAGAATTGTATCGGGGGAATACTACTATAGTTACATGGTTATTTATAGGAAATGAGATCAGAGATAGGAGTTAAGTTCTATCCAGGGTAGGATTTTCAATTGCAGGATGAGAACTATACAAGGTAAGAGAAGTCCAATGAAAGTAAGGGTGTTCATGAAACAATTTAAGTCATTGGTCTAATGGTATAACCAATAAGTAAAAGGGAATGAGTAGTCTGATAAGAGAAAGAAATAAGCATTCACAGAAAGTGTAACAGAAGAATGCAAACACTATTTTGACAACTATCTCTGTCTGTTCTGTGGACAAGCTGGGCACAACACAAAGCTGCGGCTTGAGTCCCCCTCCAGTGCCACAAACATTTGTGCCGCTGCAACAGTCCTGGAAAACAAACCGGACACCACTGAGGCAAAAGGAATAGTCAGCAGTCCTCCATGCTCTGCATGTGTTGAGGACTGTGTTGATCCTGACTAGTGTTGCCGCAGCTAGCTTAGCCAAGCTGCAGCTCAATAAATCACAGTTTGAATCCTGACTGTAGGCAAGTGAACACGTATACAAGAGGAAGTCATGAAATTCTTTGGGAAGAACATGACATAGTGCAGCAGGCGTAGTGTGAGGTTCCTTCATCTTAATAAGTCTGTACTTCTTCTCTTTGCTTCCCTTGATTCCCTGCGATGGAAGAGATCCACGGAGATAATAAATTATAATATAGGAAATTACTTCCAAGTCATTGCACTGGGATTGCTGGATGCCCATAGAAATATGACTGATTATCATATCCATGTTAATAAATGGTGAGCAATATGACAACTAGAATATCCCACTTGAAGTTCATGATCAAATTTTAACAATGTGAGAGCCAAAGATACGTGAACTTCTTTGAGAGATTGTTTATAAGATTGATGCTAGATTTGCGTCAGTTGACAACTTGAATATAATATATGGCTGTGCTGTACTTTGAAGTGTTTGACATGCTGGAAACCTTGGTTGGCTTCCATATTGTGATTATGACTTCAAGTTACCAAGTTACTCTTGAAGATTTTTCTGAGATCCAAAATCTGTTTGTTTGGATTAAAAGCTATTGCTAAACAAACACTACTGTATTAAAAAACTCAGTGCTTTAACCATTTTTGCAGGAGGCTAGTTCTGTGGCACCGCTATTGGCAAGCCATTAAAATAGGTAAAGTACCACTATAATATATAATATACATTCACTATTTTCAATGACTTCACTTTTCCTTAGAGCAGTGAGTTCCATCCTTGTATTGTTGTAGATCCAAAGGTCAGATTTTATCACTAAAAATGGAAAGTTTTGATCAAGGTATATCTGAGTTTTATAATGTGGGCAATACATAAAATCACTAAAACAATTATGAATTTTATGGCATAGCCTTCCAAAGGTTTACCAACCTGATATGTCTAGGCCTGCAAACCAGTTAATATTATGTCATAACTATTTATAGCCACATAATTCATAGCAATCACAGCTCAATCCAGTCACATGACATAATAGTTCAGCTTGGTTAAAAAGCCAGTTTTACCCGAGACTGTGGCAACACTACCCACAACTAACTCAGTCCTACCTCTAAGGGGGTTTATCCACTCCTTCACTTATCCTATCTGCCTGTATTAGTTGTGCACCAGAGTATAAAACTTTGATTATTACAGTATGTAAGACTAATCAGGGAGTTACGCAGTGGAGCTGGTCACACAGGCTGTGCCCTATGACATCATCAGCCACTGCCTTCATTAACTGTATAGTACATATGTACAAATAGTCTGTAGATGTATATAAACCCCAATAGATCAAGGAGACTCCTTAGCGAGTCCTCCTGTTGTTTACCCACAACTAACTCGGTCCTATTTTAAGGGGTGACCACTCCCACTCACTTCACTACTGCTTGTCTGAGTTGTGCGCCAGAGTATACAAACTCTTGGTTGTTACATTAGGACTTGCTCTTATTACTCTCTCGCACTTTGTGCAAACCCAGACCACATGGTCAAGTGGACATCTTTTGAAAGATAAGACTTTGGTGCCAGACTGGCGTTGAGCTTTTGCTAGCCAGCAGAAACAAAATGTGTACCCCAAGTTCATTGCAAGCTCTTTGTTCCAAGCTACCAGAGAGGTTACAACCAAACCATACACGGCCCCCAGTGTTAAGGGGAGTACTTTAGCTCAGCATTTGGTATGGAACCACTGTTGATCAGATTTAAATACAAAACTTCTTCTTTGTTTTCCTCTGACCAGGCTGGGCACTTGCCTCCGCCAGTCTGGAGAAGGGTTGACAGCCTAACAAGTGGACCACCCCCTGACAACTGTTCAGACCAGGGTATTGTACTATAATTTTTACGTACTTTCTATTAAGAACAAAGCTTGAAGGAAGTGTCTAGCCACTTGCTGAGAGCAATCAGGGACTGGAACTAGAGTCCAATGTGAGTAACTATATTATTAGAGAGTATGACAGGTATACAGTACCTAGAGTCCAATGTGAGTAACTAGAGAATAGGAAGCATTGGACTCTGCAGTACTGTCCGAAGTTTTGTAAACAAAGGTAAACAAAGCAGCCATAAAGGCGAAATAATAGAGAACACAATCAATAGTGAATGATAGAAGAATAGATAGAGAAAGGAATGAAAATATATAGGTAGCACAAAGGTGCAGAATCACCAAAACTAACACTCCCCCCTGATGCTGCACCTCCCAAGAATCAGCTCCCCCCTGATCTAATAAGTCCCATCATCTTCCTGAACACTTCCACTTTAGGCTTGGCAAGAGCCTTGGTCAACAAGTCTGCAGGCATTTCAGCAGTGGGAACAAAGGTAGGAGCAATCTGCCCAGAGTCAACAACATCTCTCAACCAATGCCATCGCAGATCAAGGTGTTTCATCCAACCATGGTGCTCAGGGTTCTTGGATACAGAGATGGCAGATTGGTTGTCAATATGAAGGGTGGAAGGAGAGGTGATAGGATAGCCCATTTCCTTCAACAAATTTCGCATCCAGCAAATCTCTTTGCCAGCCTCAACAGCAGCAATGTATTCTGCTTCAGTGGTGGACAGAGCAACAATGTTCTGAAGCTTGGAGCTCCAGGAGACAGCACCAGATCCCATCTTGACAATATAGGCACCAGTAGAACGACCAGAGTCCTTGTCACCACCATGATCAGCATCAGAGAAAGTGGTGAAGAGTTCAGTGGAATTGGGATCAGGACCAAGGACAAGGGAATGATCAAGGGTGCCTTGCAAGTAGCGGAACAAGTGCTTGACAGCGCTCCAGTGAGTAAGACCAGGATTAGAGTTATATCTGGCAAGGACTCCAACAGTGTAGGCAATGTCAGGACGAGTTGTAGTGGCCAGATACATCAGAGCACCAACAGCAGCAAGGTAGGGAATGTCCTTCATCAAAGCAGCATCACTGGATGTTTTGGGAGACATGTCCTTGGTGAGGCGCAAACCAGGATCCATGGGAGTGGACACAGGCTTGCAGTCCTTCATGCCAAAGCGCTCCAGAATGTCCAGAGTGTACTGATGTTGGGAGAGGGAGATGGTGCAATTACTTAGGTCTCTAGTGATGGAAATGCCAAGTAGGTAAGAAGTAGGGCCAAGATCACGAAGCTTAAAGTGCAGGGAGAGGTCCTTGACAGCTTGGTCAAGTGCAGAAGTAGAAGTGGATGCCAGTGTCATGTCATCAACAAAGACAGGCAGGATAATGCGCACATCAGCTCTGTTAAAGACATAGATGGCAGAGTCTGAATAAGTACGCTTGAATCCGAGTTTTTCAAGCACAGTGTGCATCTTCTGGTTCCACATTCTGCCTCCCTGCTTTGTCCCATAGATGGCCTTGCCCAACTGGCAAACAAGATTGCGAGGACCCTGATGGAATCCCTCTGGCTGATGCATGTAGACCTTGACATCCATGACTCCATTCAGGAATGCATGGGAAATGTCAATGGAGCGCAAATGGAGGTTGTGGATGGCTGCAATGGCAAGGACAACTCTGATGGATGATATGCGGACAGTAGGTGCAAATATTTCGAGGAAATCAAAGCCAGGGCGCTGGTTATAACCTTTGGCCACATATCTGGCCTTGTAGCGCTCAACAGTGCCATCTGAGTTGCGCTTGATCTTGAAGACCCATTTGCCACCAATAGCCTTGACTCCAGGAGGTAGTTCCACTAGTGACCAAGTACCATTGCGCTCATGAGCTTGAAGCTCTTCCATGGCTGCCTCTCTCCATTTATCTGCATCAGGATGCTTCATTGCATCTGCAAACGACCTAGGCTCAGCAGAGTCTCCAAAGTGTGCTACTTCATCATCAACTGCCTCAGAATCACTGTCATCACTCTCAATGGCAGGAGTAGGTTGTCTGTGTTGAAGCCACCATGGTCTAGGTGGTCTCCTAGCCCTTACAGGGCGTCTCAGTGCAATAGGCAAGTCAGGAGAAGGTGAGCGATGAGGAGGGTGATTTGGAAGCTCAGGAGGTTGATTCACAGGTGGTTTTGCATCAAGGTCCAAATGAGGCCCATTGTCAGGCAATGGCTGAGGCTGCTGAAGTGCAGCTGGTGGGCCCATATCTCCCCCTGGACCTGGTGCAGGGACATCCTCAATCAGGCCCAATGGCATGGATAGCGAAGGTGGAGTGGGAGGTGGAGGTGGGACATTGTCAGAAGACCTCTTCAAGCCAGGGAAGTAGCGCTCATCAAAATCAGCTCTCTCAGAGATAATAGTGCGCTTGGTGGTAGGATTGTAGAATTTCCATCCCTTGTACCCCTCAGGGTAACCAATAAACACACATTTCTCCATATGAGAGCCAAAGACGCCTCTTTTGTCCTTTTGCACATGCACATAGGCAGTGCAGCCCCAAACGCGAAGGTGAGACATGTCAGGCTTGCATTCATACCACAACTCAAATGGAGTGGCATGGGCCACTGCATCAGTGGGACACCTGTTCCAGACATGCACCAAAGTGGACAGACATTCACCCCAGAAGTTGTTAGGCAATGCAGACTCTGATAACATGGCAGTAATACGCTCAGTCAGAAGTCTGTTTGCTCGCTCTGCCACACCATTCTGCTGAGGACGATTCCTGGTGGTATGCTGTCTGACAATCCCATGGTCATCTGTGAATTTCTCAAATTCCTTGGACATATACTCTCCCCCTTTGTCATTGCGCAGAGCCTTGATTTTACGCTCCAATTGAGTCTCAGCATAAGCCTTGAATCTCTTGAAAGCATCAAAGACATCTGACTTGGCCTTGAGAGGCACAACAACACGGAATCGACTGTGATCGTCAATGAAGGTGACCCAGTAGCGATAACCAGAGAATGTGGGGGAAGAGACTTGGTGTACATCAGAATGGATGAGGTCCAAAGGATGAGCAGAGCGAGTATCAGATGAGGGGAATGGATTGGCATGCATCTTGCCAGACAAGCACGGTTCACAGACAGGATCAGGAGCAGCCTTGGATTCCAGTGTAAGCCCAGTGACCAGATCTCTCTGTATCAGTCTCTTGACATCAGCATGATGGTGGTGAGCCAATCTGCGATGCCAGAGCATCAAATCAAGTGGTATAGTCGCAGTAAAATGTCCCAATTCAACACAAGCAGCAGTAGATCCATCAAGGAATGCTGCATTGTTGTCATTGATAGTTGCAGTGAACAAGAGAGTGTTGTCACGCATAAAGGACATGGAATGAGACAAAATAGTGACATTGAAACCACTTTGACGAGTTAAATACAAGACTGAGAGGAGATTATTTCGAAGATCTGGTACATGGAGCACTCTAGAGAATTCCACAGCCCTAGCCACTTTGCCATTCATCACAGGATTAAACACCACAGTACCAACACCAGCTGAATAGACAACAGTGTGATCAGCCAGCTTGATTGGCACACAATATGGGGTATAGTGGTGCACCCAATGACGATGAGGTGTCATATGAGAAGTGGCGCCTGTGTCTGCATTCCAATCAATGTCAGCATCAAGTTGGAGAGGGCAATGAGGATCAGAGGGATGAATGGAACGAAAACTTGCATTTCAAGCTGATTCAGTGACCACAGTAGATGAATTGGCATTGTTGGGCGAAGATTTGGGCTGCTGAGAGGTATTCTGAGAGTTGCTGGAGCCTGCCTGAGCCTTATTGCCACGCTTGTAGCGATTCTTAGCACCCTCCACTGCCTGTTGGCGACTAGCTATGTATCTGTGGCATTTGTCTTGGGTATGACCAAGTAAACCACAGAAATCACACTGAACGCGAGTAGAGGTGGTGGATTGGTTGCAATGATGGCAGTTAGGATGGGTGCAGGTGCTATTGGCAGTGGTAGACGAAGAATGCAAGGCAGAATCGACTTCAGCACGACGACGGCGATTGACCTCTTCAGCAAGGAAAGCATCCCTGAGCTGGGTCTTGTCCAAGGTGCCCAGAAGTAGTAAAGATGAAGTGAAGTGGGCATATTGATCAGGAAGCGCCCTAATCATGGCCATGCATGTCAATTCATCATCCAATTCAGACAATGAGAAGCCAGTAGGACAAAGATTTTGAATCTGATGCATGCCTTTGTCAATTCTGGTCATGAGAGCCTGCAGGGACTCGTCCTCCTTCTTTCTGATAGAGAAGAAGTCGTCATAGGCATTAAATCTCGTCCCATGCTTCTTAGAGATGTGCACAATTGCCAGTTTCTCCCAGATCTTGACAGGATCATCAATGATGCCATCAAGATGGATGCGCTGCTCTTTGGTGACATTGAGGTATAATGCACCAGCAGCCTTTTCAGCTCTCAACTCCCATTTCTCTATTGCTTCAGTGTCAGTCCCAGGACACTTTTCAGCGCCAGAGACGAGCCTCCACAGTCCCTTGGTCATCAACCAAGCTTGCATTTCACCACTCCACTGGGGGTAGTTAGTGCCAGACAAGGGATGGAACTTGGGATCAGAGTCAGACATGATGGGTGTTGTATAAGACAATAGAGCAATGATAAATGATGTAGGAGACGGCTATAGGCGATGGAATAGTGGCAAAGACAATGGGCAACAGTAGGAGGCGAGCAGATAAGATGGTGAGGCGGTAGAGAGAGGATATGGAGAGGGTCAGAAAGCGCAAGGATAGGTCCAAATAGGGTCCAAAAAGCGTCCAAAAGCGATCCAGGAGGGTGCTAAGGCTTCCTAGTGCTGCTACAGGGTTACGCCTGTGTTCTTCTTTCAATTCCACACTGATATTAACAGAGAAATCGCCTCGAGACAGTGTTGGTTAATAGGGCTTGTATATGAGTCAACAAAGTGACTTAAGCTCCCCAAACACCGCAGACTGAGAGAGGCTCTAGGCAACAGCAAACTGAGGCAATGCAGGCGAGCTTCACAGTCTATAGGCTTGTTCTATCTGATAATGGACAGAGTAGAGAAGATTGGAGCTTTATGCACACACCAGATATGCCAAAAGCGAAAAATAGGGCAAAAAGTCGAAATTGATGCAGAGACAGATAAGATGGATGGATTGCCACCAAATCAGAGGTATAGGGAACGTTTTTATAGAGTAATAGATGGCCCAAATATCGCAAGAAGTGAAGCACAGGATGTGGAGATATGCAATAGGGGTCCAATAGGGGTGAAAGTGCCAAAAATGCGAACTTCACAGAGGATGATGGAGTGGATGGATTGCCCCCAAATTGATGGTGTAAAGTGCAATAGTATAGGGTAGTAGATGGCTCAAATAGGGCCAAGATCCGAGCACAGGATGTGGAGATATGGAATAGGGGGCCAAAAGGTGGTCAAACGATGATGAAGGCTCACAGAAAGATCCAGCTCAAATCCAACCACTCTGACAGGTCTCCTAGGGTTATTTAGGCCGTAGAAGACGATGGTAGAAGTTACAGCACGATCAGATAAGGATTGGGCAAGATATGGTGCAGATAAGGCCAAAAAAGCGTCCAAAATGGGGGTAACTTGCAACAAGGAGTTGTTGTTGGAGATCAAGATGAGATCAGAGTAATCTGAGGTGATGGATGAGATAATAAGAGTCCCAGAAGACGATGGTTACGATGGATAAGCAGTAGGACGCTTGGATGGTGAGATATGAGGTCAGGAAGATGGCTAGAGCACAGGGCTCATAACCTATTAAGAACAAAGCTTGAAGGAAGTGTCTAGCCACTTGCTGAGAGCAATCAGGGACTGGAACTAGAGTCCAATGTGAGTAACTATATTATTAGAGAGTATGACAGGTATACAGTACCTAGAGTCCAATGTGAGTAACTAGAGAATAGGAAGCATTGGACTCTGCAGTACTGTCCGAAGTTTTGTAAACAAAGGTAAACAAAGCAGCCATAAAGGCGAAATAATAGAGAACACAATCAATAGTGAATGATAGAAGAATAGATAGAGAAAGGAATGAAAATATATAGGTAGCACAAAGGTGCAGAATCACCAAAACTAACACTTTCAAATAGTATTGTGTGGGTAGTCAGGGATTGAGACCCGTTACTCAGCTGAGAACAGGTAGATCTGCAGATAGCAAGCGGGGACCCCCAGTTACATTTTTTTTTACATTTAAAAAGAGAACAAGTTGACATGTTGTCGCAAAACCAATCTGATGTCAACACTTTGTTGCACAACATGCGTGCACAGATTCTGACCTTAACTACATAGCTCGCTGATCTCCACTATCACTCCAGCATCCTACCTACTTGAGAAGACCACACTAACAACAGCAAGTAGTGTAATAATGACAGAACTTGAATATGGCTCGGGATACACAATGGAAAAATATGGAGATAGATTGTTTGAGGTTTAATGACAAGAAAGTGTTAGCAGAAGCAAAAGTGGAAGCACTTGCCACTATGCAAGAGGAGCAAAGGAAAACAGTGGCTTGTTTGTTGCAAAAGGAGCTACAGAGGAATAAAAGGGAACAAGAGAGGCTGAGGAGAGAAAAACAATAGTATAACTCAAAGAAGATGCAGGTTGTAGTGGATGGTCTGGATGACCAGTGGACCAATTTGTATGCTATTCTTTGGTTCATCAAATATTGGGAGTTCTTCAATATATTCAATATCAAGCCCTTGACTAAAGAAGTCCCTTGGCTTACTCTTGCACACCCTAGCATTGTGACAGTGACACTGCCAGATATCCCCTGGGACAGTATAGATGCATTCTTGGTCAAAGTGAGATCTTTTCCTGAGTCCCAGAACATCCTCAAAATTACACAATGGAAGTATCACCCAGATAAGTGGGCAGCACAATTGTTGGATATCCCAAATGACACACTCAGATCGAGAATTTTGAATGTAATTACTATAATTCCACAGGTAGCAAATAGTATTGAGTGTGAATAGACTACTGTAAAATATACTTTATTCACTGATGTTGTACTGCACGTATGATTACCAGGCAATCAGTGGGCAACACATTTCATTGGCCTTGAAATAACTTATTTTGATCACTACCAGAATTTTACATGGCAGATTTTGCAAAACAATAAAATATCCAAGTAAATTTTATACATTATAAACACATTTCACCTGGGTTAAATCCAAGGCAACATTTCTGCTTTTGTAGAGGATTAAATATTCACTACAATAATATATCTTGAATGGATTTTTCTATTGATGGCAAATATCAACTTTCTGGTAGGTAAAATGGTTATATAAATATTACATTTAGGTTACAATTTTCCATTACATTTTGCAGTGTGAAAATTCTCCTCAATCTCAAGTGATAGTGACTCTGTTGTGAGAAATAGAGTGTGATGTGGACTGCTGAGCTAAAAATGGCCCTGCAGAGCCACTCTTGAGCTTAGGCTTTGGTGGGAAAGTGTCAACAATTCATGTCATTGACACCAAATGTGGGGTTCCTGCATGCCGCCCTTACCTTGTTGCTGTAAAGTTGAGCTCAACTCAAGCTTATCATAGGTGATTGTTGATTAAAAAATCATTAACCTTGTGGTGTTCATTGCCAGATGGTATAGTAATATGAGGAATAGATAAAAAAACAACCTGCCCCCTGTGTTCACAGTGTGTTAAGATGTCAGCACTGTCAGCCCCTAACCCCAGAAATACTCCTTTTTGTCCAGCCAGATCTTCTGCTGTAAAACTTGAGCATATTCTTGACAAGATCCACAATATTGACTGGTCCCTTTCCAACTTCCTACATTATATCATTTATTTTTCCTGCAAGATCATCAGGGGAACTGCATTAAGAGATCTCAGTGGCACTTACAGATGGTTGTATTTTTACTGCATGGATCCTCAGGAACTCTCTTGTTTATCAACATTCTTGATATGGTTCATGTTGCAAGCCCAGTTTATTGTATATTGAGCAGACAAGTTGCAAGAGAAGGAGGCATGTTTTGTGTCCAATATCAGTAGTGCAGAACCTCGGCATGCAAAGACAGCACTGATCATATGGGCCATCGGACATATTGTTCTACTGGTGCAGGTAGAACCAAAAGAGATCATTTCAAAGGAAACGTACTTCCAGCTTCACACATACTGGGGGGGGGGGGGGGCAATGTTAACTATCAACACATTCTAAATACATTCTACACTCAGACAAAATAAGGCTAGAATGTTAGAGAGTGTCACATCTTAATCACATTTTAAAAATATATTTTAAATTTTTATGATTTTTTTGTGTTACAATATACAATTTTTGCAATTGTAATACAATGTGAGTTTGATATACACATTGAGAATATATATAAATTATGTTTAATCTATATTGGTTTGAAACATACAATTTACACTGCTTGACAAATTCCAAATCTATTATAATATTGTTGTGGTAACATTTGAAAAAATTTGAAAACATTCTCTCCTAATATGTATACCATCATTTGGAAAATATTACAAATAAATTTCTGATAAGATAATGTAGAATTATATTAAGAACGTGGAAAGAAAAGTTTCAATGTTATCTATAAACATATTGTATAATTATGTTAATCTTATATGTAGTTAATTTGTAATATGTTTAATATATGC